TGCAGAGCTGCTGGCACGACTGGGTGAGAAGCAGGCTGCAGTCACCTGCCCCGTAGCACCAAGTCCCCAAGGCCGGTGAACTCCCCTGCTTTGTCCCGCCTTCTGGGTCCTACCTTGAGTCTTTCCAGAAATTCTTGTGACGTGCTTAGACAAGACACACTTCTCCCTGCTTCGAGAGCGGTACTGAACACAGCACAGACGGTGTTCCCCGCTTACTGAATGAATGAACGAGTGCATGAACCATTGGCAGAAAAGTCCAGAAATAACTTATGGAAAATGCCTTGCACTCCTGACTCGGAGTAAGAGATGATACCGGTGGGAAGAGGCAGCAGGTGGGTGAAATGACAGAGCTTTGGGGCCAGAGGAGGAAGTCCTTGGCCTTGTGCAAGTCACTGGTCGTTTAAGCCTCAGTTTCCCCACCTGCAAATTCTGCCCACGGTGTAGCTTTGTGGCAAAACCGCAGACAACATTTTTTAAAAATAAATTTGAAAATCAAGTACTGGGGACCTCTCAGCTCAGGTCCAGAGGCTGTGAAATCCCAGTGTAGAGGACTTTGTGGAAACCAAGGAATGAGGAGGAGGGAGGATGAAAGAAGGAAAGCCTTGAGCAGGCATTATCCCACGGGATGCGGGGAGGCTTGGCAGGTGGTGTCAAGGGAGCGAGGAAACAGCAGAAAAGCCCGGGCTGAAGGATTGGTGGGGGCTTCCGCACCTGGGAGGGAACCAGGTGGAGCCTCGGGAAGATGCTGGAAGGTAGATGGGAGCCATGTGTGGGATGTGGGCTCAGAACCCTACTTCCCCACTTAGAAATAAGTTAAAATGACACTGATTCAATAGCCCTTGATGGGCTCATCTCTATTAACTCCCGCTTTTTGGCTCAAGTAACTTTCTGCGTACTATGAACCTCAGGCCCTTGTAACAGCCTGTCACCACGATCACTATCAAGGATGGCGAAGAGGGAGGGGGTTGTTAGTGTTCACCCCAGCTGCTTTGGATCAGAGGCTGTTCAGACACACAGTGTCTCCTTAATCCCTGTAAGACAGAGACAAGTCGTTCTGACATGCTTACATGGAAATGTAGCCTTGGTCCCTGACAGTGACCGTTGGACACTGGCCCCAGGCCTTCCTGACTTGCCTGCCTATCAGGATAGCAGGAAACCTACTCACAAAACCTACCTCCGAGGAAAGGACTCGGCTAAAGCAGAGTTGCCCACACAGTTGTGCAAAAGCTTGGGTGGGGCTTTCCTCCCTGGGCTATTTCTTCTTCCGCTGGAGAACTTGACACCTACAAGGTCAGGTCTAGGAGGTCCCCAAGACCGTTATCACTTACCACTCTGCTTATCACCACCCCTGACCGCCTTCAGGCTCACCTTCTCGGGGGTACGGCCATACATACTTTCTATGAAGCGAAGCTTGGACTTGGACAGAGCCATGGAAACTCTGAGCTCATTCTGGGAACCTGGAAAGCTCAGCTGACATTCTTAGAATCCAGGAACTGTCGCCAACAGCCGGCAGGGGACGGGTCTGTTATTATCAGCCTCTCTTGCTCCCTTCTCAAAGGGTAACTCTGATTCATTATGCAAATTTTGAAAACACAGGCAAGCAAAAAGGAAATCAGAACACCCCTCACCCCATCAGCCATACGTAAACAGACATCAGCCTACTTCCAGGCTTGCTTGCGATCGATGCCTATGCATCTCTGCTTTAAAACAAAAACAAAAACAAAAAACACACACACAAGACTGCTCAGTGCTGTTTTGTACCTAATCTTTTCACATAACCACTGCAAATAGCTTTCCGTGTCATTAAATAGGCTCCCACACCTTCATTTTTGATGACTGCCCAGTGTGCGCCAGCTAGATCTGCCTCAGTCAATTGTTTGTGTCGTTTCTCTCGTGCCTGTGGTCTGCAAGTTACATCATTACCTGCTCGAAGGAAGTGCCAAGGTTTAGCCAATTAGAAGCTCTTCATTAAAAACGAAAAAGGGCACCTGCAGCCCTCCAGAGGGTGGGCCAGTGCCCTCGTTCTTCTGAAGGGTATCCTTGTTGCGAACAGCAACCTGGCCCTCCGCCGGTGAAGCCCTGGATGGGGGAAAGAGGCTCGGCTGTATTTCCCCGCGGACCTCTTTGGAAAAGCTAGGCTGCTTTAAAAAAAAAAAAATAGTAAAAGAAAATGTTTTGTGATTGTTTGTGAGCACACACAGGCTCAGCGACAAAATGAGACAGAACCCTTGATTTCTCACCTCCTGCTGCACTGCTCAAAATGTTCAAAATGCCTCCCAGAGAGGCAAGGAGGAAGCAAATGTGAAACACTGATTGTGAAATTTGCATCCTCTCTTAGCTGGTTATTGTCCCAGAGGACATTTCACATCAAACTGTACTTGTTTGTAAAGATTCTTCCCCCCAAGACAAACCACTTCTCCAGATACTGCTGTCGGGAGGCTAGAGAACTAGAGAGACAGAATTTAAAAATACTGAGGGACCCGGGGTAGAGACACGAATGGGACGGAAGGACAGAAGCCACTTCCAGCCTGGAAACCCTCGTTGGGGGATCCCGTTCGGAGCCCCACCCAGGTAAATAACAGGAAAAAGAGCCGCCACAGAAAGGAGAGCTGAAAAACAGTCATTAAGCAGATGCGTTGGTGCGACATGTTGAATTTCAGGGAATACCCACAGCGGGCTAGCTCTGCCGTGGGCACTGAGGCACAGACACCAATAAAACCCCATTTCTACACTCAGGGAGCCACCCGTCTTAAGAGAGGAGTCAGGCGTGCTAATGCACGTTTGAAACGTGGTGTGATAAATGCAATTCCCCGAGCACTTCATGTATGTGGTATATGATGACAACACAGGGGGGTAACCCTCTGCTGGTGGCGCTGGGAAGGCATCGCAGATGAAGAGGAGGGGAAGTGAGGAATGTGTGCACCACCCCCACGAAGGAGCCGCATGCAGAAGGCATGAGGGCACGACACAGCAGGTGTGTTCTAAGAACCGCACCTAGCCAGGCAGGGTTGAGACACAGGCTGGAGCTCCAGGAATTAAAGCCTCAAGGCCAGTGGGAGCTGGGTCAGACCTCATCCTGTGTCTGAGGGGGAAACGAGCATGGGCTCCATGCAGCGGGCAGCAGGAGCCCCCGGGGTTTCAGCTGGCACATGGCTGAGTCACACTGGAGAGGCTCTTTCTGGGTGGTATGAAGCTTGCTCGATTAGAGCAGGGGGCAGAGAAGGAGTCCTTGGCTAAAGCTCAGGCTAGAAATGATGTGGGCCTCCACACAGGGCGGCGACGGGGGGAGCAGAAGGAAGAAGTGTTTCCGGTGATGATGAACAAGGAGGAGTCCACGGGGCCAAGTGACCAGTTGAAATGCAGGGCAGCTGGGTGACAAGGAAAAGGCAAAGAGCCAATAACTTATAGAACAAGACAGAGAGGCAGAAGAGGGTTAAATCTGGGGGCAGACGATGGAGAGGGAGGGGACTCCCTCCCCCAGGCACATGCGGAAAGGACAGAACAATCATTGCAGAAACAGATCCCAGTGGCAGTCAGGATGGACTCGTGGGCAGAAAGCAGGATGGGTGGCCGCTCCTGAGAGAGCCAGAGCTCAGAATAAAGCAGGACCAGAAGGCGGATGGAGAGGACACAGGAAACAGAGAGGGAGCAGAGGCTCACGAGCCACATTTGGCATGGGGGATGGCCACGTCCCCTCAGTTCCAGGGGCTGGGATGCTGAGAAGAGTGACCACAGTGCCACTCAGGAAGGAAGAAGGCCAGGAAGGGCTGAGAGATGAGGGGCTTACAACCCAAGTCTGAGCAGGGCAGAGATGAGAAGGGGACTGACAGGCATGGACGAGCTAGAAAGGCCGAAAGCTCCATGGGCAAGGCAAACACATTCACAGCTTGTCCAGACCAGGAGCACGGGTTTGCAGTGGGGCTGGTGTTTTAGGAGTGCCCACAGAGGACAAGGGCCAGCCCCGTGGTGGAGAGGCTGTGAGACTGGCCTCCTGCTTTCAGCCGAGAGTTTCCCACCGGGGTCCGAGGCCCAAGGACGAGCATGACCCTGGCCCAGTCAGCAGCCTGCCATCTGCCCTTAGGTAGGTGTGTGGCGTTCCCCCAGGTGCCAAGAGGCTCTGCGGAAGCCGCTGTCCCGAGAAGCACTGGTGTTTGAGGAAGAGGACACTTTGGGATCAGCTGGTGGACTGGGAGGCAGCAGAGAACTCCCACCTCTGAGGGAGACCACAATGTCCCATAGGAATCTAGGACACCCTCCCCCCCAGGAGACCACTGGGGTCTGTACCCAGATGGGCCCAGCCAAGATTCACAATCTCCAAGGAAAGTCAGATTGAAACAAAGGGATCCCCCCAGTTAGGAATAGCTATGTGCTCTACTCCTTCTTCCAGCCCTGTCTGAGGATACCCCAGGACCAATCCGTGTCAGTGCCTTGAAGGATGCATAGAGTCCCTCTGTGGGAGCAAGGCAAGCCTTGCCTCACACCATCACCAAAGATGAACAGTTTACAGCAGAGACTGAGAAAGAGCCTGATGGTCTAAAGGACCCTCGTTAGAACCAGGACTCCCAGGCCCTCTGTGATTGGCAGCTATGACAAAGAGCCCAGGTAATTAGTGCTTCCAGCACTGCCATTTGAACCACATTACCTTCCCAAGCAGCACCAAGCAGTTACAAATTCCTCATAAGGTCCTACTCGGCACATGGCTTCTTCGGAAACCTTCCAGCTACCTCCACCACTTGTAAGCCCCAGGGTCGGCCAGACTCTCACTTCCTCCCCTCAGCTCAGTCTGACCTCCCAGAGCCTGGGTACAGATATGCTGAGCTCAGAGCAGCCCCTGCTTTCCACGGAGCCAACCTGCCCCAGAGGTAGAGGACTGGAGGGGTGGAGGGGTGGCAGTGGCGATCAGGGAGCATCGGGCCGCGGGGGTGGGGGTCCTCCGGCTGGGGCCCTAGAGGGGGTCGCGCGCCCCGGCCTCGCGGTGACCCGCCTTGGCCTCCCCACAGGTGCGCGCAAGCGCTGCTGGAGCACGGCGCCTCGGTGCACTGCGCGGGCGGCGCGGGCGGGGACACGCCGCTGCACGTGGCGGCGCAGCGCGGCCTGGACGAGCACGCGTGTCTCTACCTGGGTTGCGGCGCGCGCGTGGACACGAGGAACGGGCGCGGCGAGACGCCCCTGAGCGCGGCGTGTGGCGCGGCGCGGCGGCCCGACGAGCACGCGCGCCGCCTGCGCCTGTGCGCGCTCCTGCTGCGGCGCGGGGCGGCGGCGGACGCGCGCGACGAGGACGAGCGCAGCCCGCTGCACAAGGCCTGCGGCCACGCGTGCCCGGGGCTGGCGCGCCTCCTGCTGCGACACGGCGCTGACGCGGGCGCGCTCGACTACGGCGGGGCCTCGCCGCTGGCCCGCGCGCTGCAGACGGCCGCCTGCGCTCCTGAGCCCGGCCCGCAGCGCACGGTGCAGGAGCTGCTCAACCACGGCTCCCCAGCCGTGTGGCCCGACGCCTTCCCCAAGGTAAGAGGGCCCCGGGGACCGGCCTGCAGCTGGGGGCTAGCGGCGCCTGCGAACTTGTAGGGATTGCAGCTTCTGATTCCCCGGGTGCGGGAGGTAGGGGAATGCAGCTCTCCCTGGTGAGGCGTGGTCTGCTGGACTTGGGGCCACACTTGGAAGGGCAGGTGTCCCTAAGCCAGTCCCTAGAAAATTCAGTTGCCTGGGCGCCTGGCTGGCTCCTTGGGTGGAGCTTGCAACTCTTAATCCCCGGGTTGTGAGTTCAAGCGTCACATTAGGTGCAGAGCCAACCTAAATATAGTTTTTAAATAAACTGGGGAAGCAGGACACTTAGTTGGATGGCGCCCTCATGGCTCAGAATGTTTTGGCAGCTTATCTAATTGATAAACAATGAAAGTCCGTCCAGTGTTCGATATAAAATGAAATACCCAATCTGGCTACCTACCTTAGTAATGACTTGAATGAAAGCACTTGACACGTCTGCAAACACCTGACATTCAGTCCACACCACACTCCCGAGAAATACGCCAGGCACGTGACCCAGGCCCATGAGGCTCTCCCACCTGGGTTTCAGCCAGGTGAAATGCCCCGTTCAGGGTTAGGGCTGTGTTGGGGTCTCAGCCCCAAGTTGCAGACTTGACTCTGAAGCAGGCTGTCACTTTTTCCTCGTATCAGATCTACCCTGAAATGACAAAGATAAAGGGTAAGGATTGCCCATTAAAGAACGCACTTAGAAGATGGAAAATATTTCCAAAAGGAAGGTCCCCCAAATATTGGTTGGAATAAGGGTTTGTCCTCCTAAAAAGACTCCACTGAAAGGAAGTCATTCCATTAGGTATAAATTGAGAGTGTTCAACTTAAAAATTATCCCCAGACTCACTGATCATATGCAGGAGACACACTTTGGCTGGGTATGTTTTGAACAAATAGCTGAAAAGCTTCTACTTTTAAGAGGACAGCACTCTAGATGGTCTGAAATAGTGAAATCCACACATCTCTCTCAAATGCCAACATTGCATTCAGAGTAATGCTTCTGTCTACTAAAACATAGGTGAAAGAGGGGAAATTCCACCCACATAACTCCCTCAGTGTGTCCTTACCTCACCAGCACTGTGACAAGGTTCTTCCCCTACTTCTCACAGTATCTTTGAATTGTTCTCCATGGCACTCCACTAATGTAGAATTTCAATATGGCAGGCTCTTGAAAGGGAGCACCGGCATTTCCATATTCCGTACCACTTACCTTTATTAGTCATCATTTACATTGCAATGTGTCCCCGTATTAGCGATCTTAGTTTGTCAGCCGATGCATTGGGAACAGGACATCCCTGCTGCCCCTCCTGGTCACACCATGTTTGCATTAAACCAAGAAGCTCACTTCACCCTTCCTGGCATGAAACTGCATAAAGAAGGAACAAGAAACAAGCAGAACAAAATAAATGTCCTTACGCATAGGCCAAAAGTGAAAAATATTTGGGGGCAAGTTCTTTAAAAGAAAAAAGTCAATATAGTTCAGTAGTGACGAGTCGTAATCCTTTGTTAGCCTGGGAGTCATGCGATCTGAGTGATCTCTGTAGGTTTCCAAGTCCTGGGTCCAGCCTCATGGACATCATCCCTGGGGACAGGACCTCCAGCACCTGAACTCTGTCTTCAGAGCTCTAAGAATTACCCTATCTTCGCTTCAAGATGCAGGAGAAGGCACAATGTCTCCCTCCTGGGCCCCCAAGGGCCCCCTCCTGGGATTCCCCCATGCTTCGCCAGGCACATGAGACTAGAGCATGGCCACTGGGGGGGGGGGGGCGAGGGGCGTGGGGGGCAAGCTTCAGGCAGGTTTGAACTCGGAGGCCATTATACAGCAACCACCAAGAAGCCATGAGAAGCGCTTGGCTCCTAAAAGTGACAATAGATCTCTCAGCCATTTCACACCATCTGGGAAGGGATTGGAGCTTTCTTGAGAAAGCTTAACACTTGGAGGTGTTCACAAAAAAGCATTGCCACCTTGTCTCCCCCACCCCACAGTGAGCACAGTGCCGCAGGGGAATTCCTCCATCAGTGTTTGTTGAATGAATGAAGTGAGCTCCAGCAACTCCAGGGCCAGTGCCCCCGCGGGTTAGATCTTTGGAAACCGGGATGTGACTTCTTCATGCTGAGATCCCCCACACCTCTAGGGGCCGCCCCACGGAGGAGTGCCGATGGGGTCCACAGCCACCAGCCCCTGGCGCTCAGGTCTGGAGCGGGTTTCAAAGGGGAACACACTGACCGCCACACTGGGAATCCTGTAAACAGATGCAGGTGGCCGCGTTTGTTCTAGCCTTGCCCAGGACAAACACGGCGAACTCTGGAAATCAGGCAGCAGCCCGTCCCTCCCCCCAGGCCCCTGCAAGTGGTCCACCAGGGAAGGGGTCTAATCACCACGCAGGGCATCAAAGGGACAGACCCGACTGCTCAGCAGACTCGTGGAGTGCGCAGCAAACACTGAACCGAGCCACAAAGACGCTCTGCCGGCAAGACTCAGCGCCGTGGCGGGGCGTACACAGAGGCACCAGGGAATGTCACAGAGCACGCCGTCCGTGGGCAACAGCCGTGCTTTAAATAGATGTAAAGAGACACCCACGGAGCTCAGAATTACTGAGGCAAAGGTTTCACAGCGAGCTTATGACATAAATCACAGCTCCCCCATGCCCAGACAAAGGCACCGTCGCCGCGGCGGGCGGACTCGGAGCATCCATCGGAGCCGTGCGCAGTGCTCTGCCCCGAAAATCAAAGTGGTGTCACAGCTTGGGAAGCAAGCATGTTGACAGTGCCAGGCCTTTCTGCCCGGCTGCCCGCTAGTTAACACCGGAGTCAGACGTGGGGGCGCGAGGGCAGGCGCAGGCGCGGTGGCAGGCTGCTGCCGGGTTTGAATCCTGGAAGCTGTCCGCGTAGGCGGGCGCCGGCCTGCAGGAGAGCAGGCGGGAGGGTGGGGTGACACACACCTGCAGATCCAAATTTGTTTTGCAACTGTCACTAGTGGATAGTGGGTCAGATGCTTGGTCTGGAATGTGGGTTTTGCTCCCATCTCTTGCCCCTTGTTCCCCTGTGCTGGGCTGTCTAAATGATCCAGACTTGGCCCAGGAGAGCCGGCTGTGCAGGGACAGCAGCAGCAATGAGCCATCTCCACCAAGCCGCACACAGAGGCTGTTTCCCCCCGGCACTTGCTTACTTCTTCAGCAGACGTTTCTCAGAACGCCTGGGCTCAGTGCTGGAGTTCGTGTTGGTCGGCAGTTCGCGTGTGTCCCGCCCTAGTGGAGCTGCCAGTCACCTGAGTGGAGGACAGCCTTGACTCAGACCACTACCTGCTCAGTGTGAAGTTGCCATGGTCGGAGAGCTTGCTCAAGCAAGGACCTGTGTGGCTCGAAAGTGCCAAATGGGGGCCTGAGCTGGCTGACGCAAAGGGCAGGGTGAGAGACTCCCCTGGGCACGTGTGGAGTGAGCCCAGACCTGAAGGCTGAAGACTCAGCTGCGTGAAGAAAGGAAGGGCCATTCCCTGCAGCATAGGCAAGAGTCCTGGGGCAGAAAGAGCACTGTAGTAGGGGCCGTTGAAAGATGACCCAGGAGCTAGAAGGAAGGGGTAAGAGGGGGCAAGAGGCAGGGGTTTCAGGGATTAAGAGTTTTAGCCTTTGTCTTAAAAGCAATGGGAATGTATTACATCATTTGAAGCAGAAGTGACATAATCAAATGAGCATGGGGTTGATTTTTCTGCAGAAGTATAGAGAACATGTGGGGGCAGGGGATGGGTGGGAAAGCACACGCTGCTGTGGCAATCCAGGTGAGGCCTGCAGATAGCTTCCGCAAGGGGAAACGAAGGTTGGCCGTGAGAATGACAGATTCTAGAAACGTCTGCAGAGCTCTGGTCTTGCCTTACCTTCGCAGCACTGACCATGCTGGAAGGATGGGCCCCAAGTTTTTGCATTTGCGTTTTACCTAAGTACAGAACAAGGTGAAGTGACTTCACGGTTCTCCAACCTCCCAAGCTTTTCACGGGGCGAATCCCAGGGTGGTAGTAGTCACAAACCAGACTCCATTTCCGTCTCCAGTGAGCGAGTGGCGTATGTGCCCCTCCCCCTGGGAGGAGGGAGGTGAGCTTCCGTAAATGGCGCACCTCTGTTTCTCTTGCTCTTGTTTTATTTCTCCATCTGCATATAGAGCAAGGCGCCCGTGTGGTTTTTTCCCCCTTAATTTTCTTTCTGCCGCCTCATTAGCCGAGGAGAGTGCGCGTGGACCCTAATGACACCAGGATGTCAGAGGAGTGTAACTGCCGCGTCTCCGCAGACAGCACGGAGGCGGCGGAGATCTTTAAACTGTGTTGGCATAAAAATAATGGAAGCAGCCAGCTGCCTGGCAAACGTGAGGGGACACAGTGCCGGGGGATGGGGGAGGGCCGGGGAGCCCCAGAGAGGTGGAACTGAGGAGAGACAGGAAATGAATTCCCAGAGACAGGCAATAAGACTTGGTCACAGTCTGTGACCCAGGGAGGAGGGGCCCCAGGGAGGGGGGTGCATCTGCTGAGGGACAGCAGCTCTTGGGGGGGGGGCAGTGTGGGAGAGGCCTTTCCTGTCACGTGTAGTCCCTGGGGACCATTTAACAGTTTGCAGAGACAAGGGAGAGGGCCAAGGGCAGGGCCAGTGGCCGGGTGATGGTGTCGCGGGAAGGTCTGAAGAAGCAGGAATGGCTTGGGAGACTAGATCTGGAGGGATCCAGTGTGAACCGCTCCTCTTCATGGTGTGGTTTCCTCCCAGTGCAGAAGGGAGACAATTGAAATCAGAGACTGCCACGCCCCAGAAAATAGCACGTTAGTGGTGACTCTTGGAAGCCAGAAATAGCCACACGTTGGGGGCATCCTGTGCGGTGGTGAAGGGATAAGACTGGGCGAGGCTCAGGTGGGAAGATGCTTGCGTGCCTGGCTCTCCCTCTGTCTCTCTCCTACTCTAAAGCCCGCTTATTTCTGACTTTGAAACAGGAAGGGA